TGAAGAATCTCCACATGAAGTTTGCTTCAAATGTGGCAAAGCTGACCATTGAGCAAGAAACTGTTCTTGCCTTGACTGCAACAGTATGCTGTTCACATTGCACAAGCAGGAGACAAAAGAAGTTGACTGTTAAACTTTGCAAAAACAAGGAAGGCCAGTCCTTCAAAGTTTCTGCTCCAGGAAAAGTCTGTCAGATACTCTGGGCCTGAAGGCTGAAGATGGATGCTCCAACATTGCAGAGGAATCTTGAGTGACTGTCCAGGCAGTCAGCCATCTCTGTCATTTCTTAGTTTTGGAAGTTGCTTGCTCTGTACTTTCTGTTTACTCAGGTAATAGTTTATCCTTCTCAGGTCTCTGATGGTATTAAAGACTAGATAGTTATGGTTTTATAGTTTTCATTGCTACCAAATTTAAAAAAGAAACTCAGAAAGAGATTTAAAGTTTATAAAGGTTGAGAAACATATAATCTTAAGTTGTTTATCTGAAATTGTTTTAATCTCTAAAAGGATATCTTTGCCTAGTAATATAAGTTATGATAGAAAGTGTTTAGGTACAAAACAACAGACTCATCAAGTAGAATAGATGATAGAGTAATTTCTCCACAGTTGGAAATCCCAAATGGGCTGGACATTGGGAATGTAATTCTTACCTGATAATTGTTTTTATTGTATATAGTTTATTGATGTTAGAGAAAGAGTATTTTATTGGATTTCTAAAAGGGGCAAATGTTGGAATAATCTTTTTGTACAAAGTATAAAGATGTATCTTTCTCCTCCCTTATTGATTGGTTTAATAAAGAGCTGAACAGCAAATAGCTAGAGAGGAGAGGATAGGCAGGACTTCCGGGCAGAGTTAGGAACTCAGGGAAAGATTTTGAGGAGTTGGATATTCCCCAGACAGACATGGAGGAAGTTGGACTTAGGGTACTGAGGAGAGGTAATGAGCTATGTGGCAGAATTTAGATTAATATAAACAAGTTAATTTAAGTATTAAGAGCTAGTTGAGGGGGTGGAGAGAAGGCACAGAGGTTATGAGTATTGGCTGTTCTTCCAAAGGTTCTGAGTTCAATTCCCAGCAACCACACAGTGGCTCACAACCATCTATTATAGGATTTGATGTCCTCTTCTGGCATACAGGTATATATGCAGAGCACTCATACATAAAATAAAAAGACATAAAAATTAAAGAAAAAA